TGGTGACGGTAATGTTTTTTCTTCAAAGATTGGATCAGCAAATGATACTCTTCTCTGCTACAAAGAAAAGTTATTAAATCATCATTCTATGCACAAAAAAAAAAATCCATGGGAAAAAGACTGGCCAAAATTAATAACTGATAAGAATTTGCATAAAGGTCAGTAAGAATAAAATAAAAATCAAAGAGTGATAAATATTGATTGATTCATTTTCTATTGTCAGAAAGACACATTGCAGGTTGTTTAAAGGCAGAAAATATTTTTCTACTGTAAGAATTTGGGGTGGGGGTGAGAGAGAGAGTGTATGTGGACCCAAATCTTTTCTACGGTCATTTACATGCAAGTAAATATAACAAACCCAACTGGAACAAGACCTATTCTCCAGTCAACAATTCCACGGCATTATCTCCATTACTCCATCTGCACTTTAAAAGCTTACAGCAACTGGCATTTCCAGACAGCCATGTTGCTTAACATGTGGCTTAAGCTGAGAACAAGCAAGATATCTAACTCTTTACAGAGAACAGCAAGAAATATATATATATATATATTTATATATATATATATATATATATATATATATATATATATAAAATAAAGCAAGATATACAGATATGCCTCAGGTTACATTGTTTTGAGTTAAGGCACTCTATTATACATCATTTCTCAAAAAATGTATGAAAAAATAAAATCATTAAAATACGTACACTTACAGTAAATGTTAATATAATCATAAATCCTAGACAACAAAATATGAAAACATCTGTGACTGTGTTGCAGCCTTATTTAGCAGTCTTTAAGTATTATTTAAAAATTCATTTGGCCAGATAATTTCTTTCATGGACTCAAATATCCATCTCTTCCATTTTTTTTTCTTTTCCTTGTGTCTGAATAAATTGAACTCCATTTATTTTTGTAAAATTAGTCTAAAGAGATGGACATCTGAGTTCACAAGATAAATTATCACCTGACCAAATGGATTTTTAAGGATTCTGTATTCATTATTATATTTGCTCTGTTCTTACATTGAGCTCTCTTTGGATTTATATCCTCCTTGGAATTATCACAACTAATCATCAAATGAGATGATATATATATATATATATATATATATATATATATATATATATATATATTACAATTCCTGTAATATTTAATTTAAAAGTGGGCTCCATTCAAAGTAGAGCAATATTTCTTATTTTAGGATATTACATCAAAAACATGTACATATAAGAAAAAAATGCTACACAACTGCAGTCATGTTTCATTGAAAACCAACGCATCTCAAGAGGCATTAGTAAATAACTAATTCAGTAACACGAGGTGCATTGTTCACATCAAAAGATGACTGCAATTGTGTAGTGTCTTGACATGTTTTTGATGTAATATCATTCATATGTATATATACACACACACAAGATAGAATACAGGAGAGCAATAGAGAGGGACATCAAGATATTGAACAAGAGAGAGACTTTCACTTGAAAATGCTGTTATATTGAAAATAATGTTTGCTTTTACAAACGAACCATGAACAGGATACAGTTTTGCTTCACCCCATTTAAATCTTTCAAATTAAAAATAATTCTTACCTTACTTGGTGGAGACGGAGTCTCTCCACTTCCATTCACAAATCTCTTCTTTAAAATACCAGTTGTTGGTGAGTAAACCGGAGATGGTGAATATGAATGGGGTGGTACATTGTCAGGAGTATCACAGGCTGCTGGTGGCTTAGTGGAAGGTGTAGCAACAAGTGCTACTATGTTATCTGGCATGGAATTATTGCTAACTGAACTGTCTTCAGTCTGTAAAGATTGCACAACTATTTCAGTATCACTCATTGCACAATCTTTAGTAGCAACAAGTTGTACTGTATCTGTTAAGTGAGTTTTGTCACAGATAGTAGTATTGTCTTCATTGGTAATAGATTTCACCACTGTTGATTCAACTTTATTACTAACAACATTGTCTTTAATAATCTCTGATTCATCTCCATTAGATTCAATACTGTTTTTATCAGTATTACTTGTCTCTATTTCACTTGGCAAAGAATCTGAAGCAGGAACAGATTGCATGTCATTGGTCAGGTCAACCATTTCATTCACAACTGTAAAGTCTTCAACAGGTTGCATATCATTATTCAACTTAACCTGGTCATTGCAGTCAAAAGTCTCTTTGCTAACATGCTCTTTATCTGTGGATTGTTTCTCTTTATCAACTACAATATTTTCATTAGTGACTGGTTGAATCAAGTCACTTGATTCAACTTTAGTGTTAATCAAATTGTCCCTAGGAGGAAGTTGTTCAGACTTTTGAGGAGAAGTTTTCGTCACAGATTTTTGAGATGGATTCTTTTTAGCACTGGAGGTTGGACTTGTAGAAATTTTTATTCCATAAACAAAACTATCTGAAAACTTTGATGGGAAACCTCTAGTGCCAGAACGCAATCTCAGAGACTTTTTAGGAGTTTCTGTCATCAGTGAATTGGAACAGAAGTTTTCTTTTTTAACTGAAGAGTCACTGCTGGTATTGGAAGAGACTGAATCCTGATTACAATCTCCAACTGTTTTCTCTTCAACTGCAGAGTCAGATGCAGTCTCACTCTTTAAACTTACATCTTGGCTTGAATCCAAGCTCTCTACTTGTGATGAATTGTGATCAGATAAAATCAAGCTGTTCTCTTCGACTATTGATTCATCAATTGAATCAACTGTTTCTTCAGATTTTTGTTGTTTTAAATCCAGGTCCATTTTTATTGGCAAACATTCATCAGAATTTCTAGATTGAGTTGACTTATCAAGAGAACTAACCAAAACACTGTTAACAGTAACAGGGTCAGTATTAACTTTCTTAGTCACATTTAATGTAGGATTAGTAATCTCACTGGATTTCTTTGCTTTTTTATGCTTTTTGGAATTTGACCTCTTCTCCTTTACATCTGCAGCTTGAATAGCTTTCCTATGAGTTCGTAAAACTTTTCCCCAAGATCGAGTTTTCACAGGAGAAATCCTACGGTTAGGACTGGTTGGAATTAATTTAGTTACTTTCAGAGGCTTCCGTTTTCTGGAACCTGTAAGTCGTTTTCTAGGGGGAGAATTTTCCTCGTGGCTATCATTGCTGTGAATTTTTGAATCATCAGAACTAGTCAGACTCTTCACAACTTCATCAGAATTATCATTCATGTCGAAAGACATCTTTGTTCTTTTTGCCATTGGTGGATGTGGCAAGGTGCTGATTTTTCTTTTCTGGGATCCTCTTTCAATTTGTGCATTGTCTTTTGATATGGATTCTTCATGAAGATCAGCATCCATTGGGATATCATCTGCTAGTGGTTCTTCATTATCTTTTTGAAGTGTTTTACCATTGACATTATCAGAATTGCTCAGAAGCAATACATTTTGCAGAGAGTTATCAAAAGGTTCACTTTCATTCACAGTCACTTGCAAACAATCAGGTTTACTGTTTACAGCAGTGAATGGTTCTACAACACTCTCACAAGGAGACATATCTTCTTGAGTAGGACTCTCAGATGATTTAGTTGCAATCTCTTCCAGGTCATCAAATGATAAATGGCGGGTATTAACAAGATCATGATTAATCTCTTTTATTGGGGTTTTGACAGGCGTTTCTAAGATTGATTCTGAAAACACTTTCTTGTCAGGAGAAATCTTGATAGGAGACTGAGTTTCTTCAACAAAAGTAAATTTCTTTTGAGAAACAACTTCAGCAGGTTGGTTTATAGATTGAGAAACTTTATTCAAAGTTGGTGAATCAAAAGGAGACACAGAATCTTCAATCAAAGACGACATATAAGGCTCCAATGATAAAGAATTTTTAGATGTTGCACACGATTTGGTATGTGAAGTTGACAACCAATTCTGTAAAGGTGTGGAGTCTAGAGGATTTTTAATTTTAGTAGGTGATGTTAATGTTTTGGTCTCTTTAGTTTTTATGGATTGGATATTGACAGGATTCTGCAATACCTTTGTGATCATGTCTTTTTGAATTTTAGATTTTATTGTAATGTTTTCCTGAGCAGTCAGAGCAAATTCCTTTACAAGGTCTTGTTTGGAAAAGGTATTTGTAATGATATTCATCTTATTATATTGATCCAAGAAATTTACTTTCTTCTTAGATTTGACAGCATTTTCTACATTGGATTTCTTGTTTTCAAGCTATTAAAAAGAAAAAATAAACTTTTATATAAGTTGCATCAAAAATAAACATTTTTGAACAAGTATTTGCACAAAGGGAGATGGAAATTGTAACATCACACAGAGATTGAATATTGTATAAAAGGTAGAACAATAGCTATATGAAGACACTATTGCCACTAATATTTTAACATTATGTGAGAGATTTCTGCTGCGTGTGTGTGTGTGGTTACAACATTCATTTTCTGACCATGAGACCTAGTTTCAAAACTCATTATGGTCAATTTGTCAGGATGTTATCAATCGGGTTGGGGGAGACAATTCCAGCATGCGGTAAATTTGGAAAGTGCATGAAAACCACCATGGATGGATGTTGGATTTAACGGCATGTCAACTCCTATTTGAAAACCACCATGGATTGACCAAAACCTTGTGAGTGAGATTGGGTAGAGGGAACTCATTTGGAGCCATTAATTGCTATGGCAACCAATAAAATAGCCCGAAATAAGCAAGGGTTTTTACTCCTGTTGAAGTGCCTTGAAAGAGTCATGCTTGCAAATAATGAACAGAAGTAGTAGTAGAAAAAAAGGGGGAGCATTATAAAACATTAGTGAGACATATGAACTCAGCACTACTTTTAACTTTGTACCCAATCTCTAGCTTAAAACATCTGCTGGACATACCCCCCCACCATCCACATTTAATATAAGCATAAAGTTTAAAAAGAAACTAAAGTAAATTCTACTTACTGCTTCAGTGAAAGTGTCATCAGACACGCTACGAGAAGTGGGTTGGCTGCTATTTATTGAATTGGAACTGAAATTGTAAAAATAGTTTGAAATGATTTGAAAATTTAGTGTTAAAAGAAGATATTTTCATTTATTAATTATCCCAAAACAGGATCATTTACAAAAACATCAAATTGAAAGGTAGTCTACACATTTAACTTGTAGAATTCACATGCTTTGTCCAGAAGTCTGAAATTCAGTTTGTATTATTTCCCTTTTCAAAGCTCATTAAATATCTGCTGCTTCTATATCCTAACAGGTAGCCAGGAAATGTTCTGAATTCTAGATGTTAACCGATTACATAAGCCTGCAACCAGGACTTCCAGTTAAGCAGCACGTGATCCCAAAACTTTTTTTTTTTTTTTAAATTTTTTATTTTAATTTCCTTATGGTCAGTTGGTGGCCGTTTCAAGAACCTCATTTCTTGAGTTTAACATCTACAGTCATTAAAACCTGGTCTAGATAACCAACTTGACTATATATGTTCTAATAATGGTTGGGTCACAATTTGCTCAGAGTTGGTGTCTATGGGTGCATAGGTGGCATCATATAAAATGGAACTGATGGGCCAAGTTTAAATTAATTCATCACTTCTGTTGTCAGCTAGTAAGGCAAACTGAGCTTTCTATCCTTGTTAGGGAAACCAGTATAGCAGACATATATGAATTAAAAACTATTGAAAACTAATGGGGAAACTATTCCATTACCTTTCCTACAAAAATCATGGTAATCCGCAATATGTAAATATACACTGCAACACTTGTCTGTTTTCCACTGACTGACCAATAATCCCAGGTTGCATATTAATTCTTGATATCATCAGTGTGCACCAAAAGCTGGGAAATGGCCTGCTGCATGTTCACAAGGTAACAAGATGAAAGAAACACCATATTGAGGAATACTCTATATACTTGTGTATAAGCAAACTTCATGCATAGTGTGACCCCTGAATTTTTTTTTGCATGAATTCTAAAACTGCCAGAAAAAATTTACCTGTGTATAACATTTTTGTGTAAAAACAGATCATAAAATCTCACTATACTTGAGTATATATAATAATGCAAACCATTTCCTATATTATATATACTGTATTTAGATTTTTCACCTGCTTGCCTAGGAGGATAAGTAGGCAACTCTTTGGACAACTATGTCAATATAGATTGGCTCTCTCCTACTATCAACTCCTCACCGATCTAGACATCAACATGTAGCTAGCAATACAAACAGGTGGCATTGGAACCACATTATGAGTGTCAACTGCCAATGGCAGACCAGAACCGACTCTAATCCCAAGCTAGACTTAATATAAACCAGCACTTTGAACAATTAAAGCCTGGATTATTGTTGGTTGGTCTGAAATGAAAAGAAAAAAATCTTCTTCTGTTGGCTATCAAGCAGAAACACTCGAGATCAAGATACAACCACATATTCCTTTTCTATGTGGGTGCCCATAGTATCACAAAGAAACTATAATATAGACATGTGTCAACAAGCATGATAATATTACTTACAAAGCAACAGAATCCTGGGATTGATCAAGGCTATTATACATGGCAGGAACGGAAAACCTGAAGTTTAAAAAAAAAAAAAAAAAAAAAAAAAAAAAAAAAGAAGAGAGAATTAAGTATTTACTTAGGCATATATAGATTTAAAATGAAATTGGAAATTTGGTAAAAATTAAAAAGCTTACTTTTTTTCTCTCAATACCTCTTGCTGGTGTTGTGTCAGAATTCGGCACTTATTTTGTGGAGAATTAATCACCACAAAGTCCTATGGATCAAAAGTTTTATAAAATTATTAAATCATTAAATTTTGCATAAACTAATTTATGTTAATAGAAAAATATGTAAATACAAACTGTTCACTGAGAGAAACTATGTGCTAAACATTAAAAATTTAGCAGTTTAATGAATTTTAATAGTTTTACAAAGACAACTTTTGTTGAAAACTTCCTAAAAACACACAAGAAATTCCAATAAAACATTAAAACATGTAATAACTATATAAACTATAATAAATCTTACTTTATCTTTAAGTTCACTTATTGGCAGTTTCTTGCAAGCTGCATAGTCTTTCACTGGTTTTGGTTTTACAAGAGAGGTCGGAAGACTGGGTGCAGCAACATTCTTCAACATACTACCATGCATTTTTGAGGGAGACAGCATTATAGGAATTGGAATTTCATCTGCTACCTGAGAGCTGGCCTGTGAAGTGTGTATTAAATATATAAGTAAATAAATCAAACATCTGCATGAAATGAACAAAAACATTTTTTCAACATATAGAAGACATTAGCATGAAGAGTTTTATTTCCCCACCACAGAAATAAACCTTTAAGATTACCCTACACTTTTTATCAAATTTATCTGTATAATATCCCTATAAGACTTATTTACTTCAAAAGAAGTTGATATTTAAACATTTATCAAAATAAAACAGAAAAAGTTGCCAGTAGTGAACAGGTGTAATGTGCCTCCCAAAACAATTACATACATCAGGATACCTGCCATAGGTGAAAATGTGAAGAGTTCTTAATCTGGAATTTTGGGGGCCTGTGAAAAGTAGATGTTACTGTGTAAAATACAATGCGATTGTCACCCAAGCTTTCCACCAACTAGCCAATGATATCCCTATGTGCACGTTGATTCTCAATCTCACTGGTGCATGTTGATTCTCAATCTCAATCTCATTGGTGCACACCTAAAGCTGAGAAAGGGACTACTGCATGCTCACAAGGTAACAAGATAAAAGATGAGGAATAAATTGGTGTAATATAAACTTTTCTTTTCGGAGCTAGCAGAAAGACACAAAATCCTATATATCAAGCATTTATTTTTTTTCATAATCTGGTAAAGGAAGAGAAAGGGGTCAAAAAACAAACAAAACAAACAAACAAAACAAACTCAACCAAGGCCTAAATCAGATCTATGTGTCTAGCAACTTTTAACACTAATGCATCTGTTTTCATATATACATCCAGAGTTCTCTATTTGGATTACTGAAGTCTTTCTTGGCTGTTCTGCTAATATTAAATTCCTACCTTGACAATTAGATTTCTTTTTATAACAGAAAAAGCTTTCAGCAAATCTAAATGACTCCATTTTAAAGAATTACCATAGCTTTCCAAATAGGGATTTAATTTCCGCAAATCTATAAATTAAACCCACTTCATTTATCATTGTCATCAAAACAATTCACATATTTACACTCAGAACTTCTTTAAACCAAATATTTCAACAAGAGTGAAAGCCAGTTATTCAATATCTTTTGCTTTCTTTAACAAATTTCTCTATACCACCATTTATAAGTATCAACACTTTCCAAGGAATCACTTTGTTATATATAAGTCACTGGGTTACAAGTAGATTATAGCAGATTTTGAATTTATTTTCATTTTGGTAAATCAGTTTCTTGTACTAGTAACCCAAAAATTTGGAAGTAAAGAAATTTAATATCACTAAACTTTTAAAAATATCCCAATCTGTTAAGCCTGAAAAAGAACTGAAAAGATGAAAACATTCTAAATCAGATATAAAAATATATATATATATATATATATATATATATATATATATATATATATAATTTTCTCTATCCTACATCCAGACCCTAAATAAACAGTGCAAGGATAAAAACAAGCACCTTTTTTTTTTTTTTTTTTAATTAACATAAAATATCTTAGGATGTAAATATTGCTGTGGCCTTTATGGGTATTTCTACAAAAGTTAAATAATCAAAAATTTAAAAAAAGATTTGCTTACCTCACTGAATTGGCTTGTGGGCGTTTCCTCAATTATCTGGATTTCTGTGCTAATCCAGCTTGGTAACATAATCACTACTTTCTCTTTAACTTTGCTAAGAACAAGACTGAAGAAAGAAAGAAAATTCATACAAGTAAAAGAAATGGGTAAAATAAACCAAAGTATATTTCAAACATTTTAAATCTTTCATTAAAGATAAAATAAAAATAAATTTAAACATTTATTCCAAACAAAATAAAAATTCATCAGGTGTAAATTTTTCAAGAATCAAAAATTTATGAAGAATTAGAAGAAAAAAAAGAAAAAAAAGAAAAGAAAAAAAATAAAAAAAATAAAAAAAATAAAAGATTATTTTTGTTTTGAAGAGAAATAGCCAAAATAAATTGTTACATAGGAATTCCAGTAATAGAAAAAAAAAAAAATTTTTTAAATTACAAATCTAATAATGAGAATGCCTACCGTAAAGATTCTGGGTAGGTGAGAGATGGTGATTGACCAAATGTGGCATTCCAAAATTGAAGAGTTTGCGTCTTTATTGTGCGTCTCGTGTGCATAAAATTCACTTCAAGCAATGGTGCCATCATTGACAAGAAGTCAGAATCATATACTCCTGTATATATATTCTGGCTACAATAAATAATGTCTTGCCAAAGTTTATCAATCTATAATAAAAAGGAAAAAATTACAAGTGAAATTAAATTGATGGAAGCTACAATCAATATTAGAAAAATAATTTTTTTTAAATCTCTGAAGATAAATTTTTAAATTTATAGTCAGAGATTTTATGGTCTGTGGGAGCAATTAATAATTTGATGTGGGTGGGGGGGAATAAAATAATGGCAATGACTCTAGAGCAGCATTTCTCAACTTTAGTTTGTTTTTTTTTCAATAAAAGTCCTTGAAATACTTTGTTTTGGGGAAACACTGCATAAAAAATTATTATATACCATTATTTATATCTATCTTTTATAATAGCCAAGGATTTTCCAACAATATGACATATGCGTATAGTAAAATTATGAATATAAAATTAAACAAAAATGCATTAGCCTATTTATCAGTTTCTTGTGGAACCTCTAGTGACCTCTTTCAGAACCCTAGGGTTCCGATGGGGAACACCGGTTGAGAACCACTGCTCTAGAGACAAAGAGAGAGGAACAAAAAAAAAAAAAAAATTAACATGTACACCATTTAATTTAGAAATAGAAAGATTATTTTAACAAATATGATTGACAGATCAAAAAGAACGTACAAACAAAATCAAAAGCTTAAACTTACTTTGGGGAGGAAACTAGCAGGATATATTTTATTGTTTGCTTTTTTAGATACAGCAAACAAACAACTAACGGGCCCAGCACACTTCTCCAAAACTGGTACAACATAACTTGAAGTAGTAATGCTAGTAAACAATGTAGTCAATATTCCAACAAGACATTTGCCAGCTGATTGAACAGTAGTTGATGTTGACTGAAACAAAAGATTGTGAAAAATAAATTAAGAACAGGTAAGAATTAAATAATTGTAGGAAAACCTTATTTAAGAGAGAAAAAAAATTTAATGTCTGATGCTTAAATATAAAATTGATATTTTGTTTTGTTTAATCTGATTTTTCAGGTTTTACAGAACCTTAAAATCAATTGAGTGTGCAAGATAAAAATATTAGTCCTTATTTAAAGATAATCCTCAGTAAACACCAAAGACATTTAACAACCTTTGTTTCTGAAGTAAAGCCACAAGAGTTATATGTAAAAAATCTTTTATAAAAAGATTGTCAAAGTTAACCTATTTTCCTGAGCAGCCTCAACCCATTTAAAATAGACAAAATGAATGACAACTTGGTAAACTGATCATTGATGCATTTGAGAGCAAGAAAGATTCTGAATTCATTCCCCTGAAATCAAAGACATCATTACTTCATTTTTCAGATGGTCATTTATTTGCCTATTTCAAACAGAAGCACTGGAGAATCAATTTGTTCAACTGTAAATCATTGAAGAAAATGTCCTTTGATGAAACAACCAGGGACTTTAGGTTCTTTTCAGAAGACACACTCAACAGCAAAAGGGTAATAAATCTAGCAACTTATCTTCATTTTGCAAAGAAACTTTCTTCTCCAAGAAGTATTTTCATGAAGAAAATACACCAATAAAAATTTCAGCATAAAATTTAAGTCACAAAAATACAATTATCAAATCATTTATGTAAAAAATATAAATATTCACCTGTTTTTCAGAAATACTGGTATTATTGTTGTTTTCAGTTACATTCATTTGTTTATGACAGGCTGATGTAACCTTGGCCAGCAAAGTTACAAAAGAATGCAAATTTTTCAGTGGTTTCTGTTTTCGTTTTCCACCCCACTTTCCAGGACTACTCAGAGCTGAGAGATAGAAAGACATTTGTTTTCAATTGATAAAATACTGGTAAAGGAAATGATTAATTAAATGGTTCATTATGGATGGGAAGTAATTTTGTCTAAATGCAAATAAATGATTTGTATAGATTAAAGCAACCAAAAGGAAGTAATCATAAATTTACTCACTTGATTTACTTCTCTTCCCACAATAAATAGGAACGGAAATATAAATACATTGATAATTATTAAATGGTTTGATGATTGAAAAATAAACTAAAATAGTTAATGAAATTAAATCATACCACTATCTTCACATACTATATATCCCACTTAAATGTTATTTTTAGTTGATACTCAAAGACAATAGACAGTCCATTTATTCATTTATTAAATGGAATAAATATTTTATTTTCACCAGCATGAATATTCAAGAAATCTTATAAACCATTACCGTACTAATTTCTCAGGTTGGTGCATAATTATCAGACATTTTTTAAACATTTATTATGAAAAAAGAAACAATTCAACAATAGCATTTTTAAATGATTATTCGAGTATGATTATTGACAAGCATTTTTATAGCCTGAAAATAAAATATTTTTATTAAAAAGTAAACAAACAGCAATTTTTATTAACAAATAACTCACCTACAAAAAACGCCTGATAATTATGCACCGACCCAATAATAAAAGAATATTTTGATGTATTGCATTATATTTTACATACATTTGATATTGAAAACAAAATGGAAACAAAAAATAAAGATAAATACATTAACAATTTAACATACTTTAACTTTTATTACTCTTTGTGGAGTTCTTGGAGTGCAATAAGCAAAAATGGCTAAGGTCTTCAATTTTGTCAAAAAAGTGACATGCTTCCTCATGTTTAGATATGAGAAGACACCAGCATTTGTTCGGTATTTCTTTCACCTGACTAGCATATTTATTTGTTTCGCTGACAAATAAAATTATTTCATCGTTATAAATAGACAAAATAATTTACCTTCAGTTTACAAGTGTTTATTTATAGCAACCGTCTCAAGCCAACAGAAAATACCCACAGCTACAAAGGGAGAGAATTTTACAGCAACAATTTTCACCACCAGTGTGGTAATGGCTAAAGATGCACTCTCCAGCAGGATTCAAATCTGCATCCATCTTTGTGAGAAACTGTTAAATCTTTAATGCTTTAAAACAAGATTCTCAAAATATTCATATTGGCTCAGTTTCACATCCTAGCATAACTAAAGCAATTTCTGAAGTAGTAATGCATTTTTTATTTATTTATATATTAATCTGAGAATTTATCAAACATTATTTTTAGTGGATACTTAGATACTTATATCTAAGTAGATGTTAGGATACAAAACTGAGCAGATGTGAATGTTTCAAGAATCTTTGAAGAAATTTTCACTTAAAGGAATTATTTAGCTTTGCTCAATTGGTGAGACCATTTACAACAAAGTTGGTCTAAAGCATGTTTGATATAATGATGGTTTCTTTTGCTAAGGTGGATGCATGTTTGAATCCTACCAGAGGGAGCATCTTTTCTTTGCAGATTGCAACATCTATCAGAGAGATGAAATTAAAATTTTTATTATTGCATTATTCCAAAATTTTAACACATATCTATTAATGTCAACAACTGAGCATAAATAGTTATTAAAAAAAATTAGTAATTAATGTATAATATTATCCATAACTACATGTACAAGAATGTCGTTTTTGATAAAAGTTAAAAAGAAATAATCAAATATGTAAAATTTTTTTTTAAAAATGCATATATTGTCGAAAATTCCTTTTCCCACAATATAACTATTTGTGCTATGTTGTAATGCTTATTACCTAAAGAATAATAAAACTGAATTTTTTTTTTTTTACACATTAAACTATATCTCCTAACAGCTGTCAATATGTTAAGATTTCTCAAATATTTAGTCCAGTAGATGAAAATAAATTCCAAGTATTATTTAAAAAATATTTTTTCAATATCCCCCATTTCTGAAGAATTCCTATACAGATTTGTCATGCATTCAGTTAATTTCCTAAATATATTCAATGCTAATGTGTACTTAAAATTTGAAGCAAAATAAATGATGTTTTTGGTATAACAGCAAATGTTACGCAAGTCTTGTTCTAGTCAATAAAAGATGTACTCCTTATTTGTTTTATATTCCCTTTCTTGTAAGAGTGTAAATACTTACTAAATGCAGAATTTTCACCAATTGAAGAAAAATTCACACAGGAAAGCACAACCTCACATAATTGAGCTAAACATTCCACAAATACAAGATCCTGCATAAAACAAAACATTTGTAAAAAATAGACACAAACACTGAGTATGAACATTAAACATTACAATATTAGTTTTATATTAAACACCACTCACACAAGTTTCATTGATTGTTATCGATATGAAAAAAGTTTTTGGCTTGGTTAATGAATTGGTCAAATGTGCTGGATAATTTTTACATTCTCTTAGTCCTTATGAAATGGAAACTTTAAGACACATCCACTCAAAATGTTTTTCGTGTGTGTGTGTGTATGATAAAATACGAAAAGATTAAAACAAAGAATCTACACAACATTCTAGTCACAATTCAAAACAAAAGTATTATTCTGACACTTGATATTAAGGCATAACTCATGCCCCTTTATCACCAAGAATTTACAATAGCATTTTAGTTTAATGAAATGTGTAATTACCTCTAAACGGCCTTCCAATTTAGGTAACTCTTCCAGAATAAGGAGGCTGACATGCTCACAAGTTACATTAGCAGATGCATTCACAACAAGAGCGGCCAAGTTAGCAAATGTGCGATACATGTTACCCCAGACCTTCAGCAAGTTCTTCATGTTAATAAAAAAAAAAAAAAAAAAAAAAAAAAATGTATAGGGATTAAGACAACTTATTTTTAATTTAGAAGGCCAGATAGTTTACATAAAATTTTCATTTATTATTGAAGAGAATCCACTATTTCAATTTGCATTGATCGAAGGTGTTTAAAAAAGTCTTAGAAGTATAAAAATTAAAACAAAAATAAACAATTAAAAAGCACAAAAAATCCCTTTTATGTGTTTTTATTGCATTAATATGAGATAATGATATTCTTGTAATGTGCCTATTAGTTGAGTTTCAGTCCATTCTAAGAATAAATCCAGCGAGATTACTACTGTATTGTTTCAGCACAGCTGTTTGAGGTTTCCTATAGCCCGACTGAACTTAAACAAAGTCAATTCAGGTTTCCTATGGTAAAAATTTTCTTTCCCAAGTGAAAATCATCAAAAAATGGCAAAAGTCATTTTGTCACAGCTTATTTTCTCTCAAAAAATGGATTTTCATACTTTTATAGGGGTAAAATATTGAAAAATGACTGTTTTATCATCATCTAAACAAATATCAAGGAAACTTTTGATCTGAAACCCATGAAACTAGGTATTTTCTGAAAGCAAAAGATATATTCTTTCATTTAAAAGTAAAATTGGCTGGTGTAAATGACTCAAAATTTTTTTTAGTGGGTAAAATGTGAAAAAATAGTGAAAATTTTGCATTTTTTTCTTGTTCTAAACAAATATTTCACCCATTAATAAGAAATTAACCATTTTTTTTTTTCTTTTGAAAATCAGAAATCCTAAATCATAATCAAACTATTTCAGGCATAAAATTGAGTTACGAAGGAAATCAACATTCCTAGGTGAACAAAATCCATTGTTAATTTTCAATTATATGACTGCCAAGGGTTAAAAAAAAAAAAAAAAAAAATTGACACCCAGCCACTGAAATCTTTAGTAAAAGGCAAGAGATTTATCTGCAATTCCTAACCACCAGAAACCAAACGTTTTTTTCCCCCAAAAAAATAGCGATAAGGAAAATTAAACCTAATTGACTGACATCTAGGTCAAAGGTCAGCCAGCAATAAACTGCAAACCTTAGAACAAGTTGTAATAAAACCCACCACTCCCAGATAAAAGCAGTGAAAAAAAAAAAAAAAAAAAAAGGGGGTTCACAATGACTAGGGCTTGATATAACCTATGTTTGAACAATGGCTTGATGAGTTTTGTTTTGTTTTTAACACCCCGTGACCCGGGTGATGACAACAACACTTAGCAGATGACATTGTTTTTTCGCCGCATATCTTTCGTATTTCCCATCGCCAGTCCATTTAGCCGTTCTTTATATTCAATGATGTTCATGCCAAATGAAAGAGAAAGGAATGAATTTTGAAGGATGTTATTTTGAAGCGAAAATAAATATTTTTCAAAAAAAAAAAAAAAAAAGGACGGGGGATCTCGGAAAAATTGGGCATAATTTTTTAATGCTAACTGCTAAGTGACATTTCCACAGCCAAATCAAAGTGAATAATTCCATGTGCAAACAATAGCTGTCTGGATCCTATAAAGTTGACCTAAAAGGTCCAGAAGTTTACTAATTGATCGAAAACCTGTTGCGCATAATTGTATTTTTCACGGTCAGTTTCCATTATTTCATCTTGATATTACCATTTTCGAACAGCCAAGTCATCAAGGATTCAGGAAAACACTTTGGCATAGGTTTTCTTTAAGAACTTGACATTCTACGAGGTGTTTAAAATGTTACTGACGAATGAGATTTTTTTGCCAAATATTTCGTTTACGCGCCATGTTGGATTTTCCTATATGACAAAAACAAGGGTTTTAAACAGCCGTGTCAGACAACCCGCTAAATACAGTTTTTACTGTCTGTCCTAGTCTCACACTCCATTCTCACATTTATATACATGCTGGCGAGTCCACCTCGCTGCTAAGGGTATAACATTTCCCCCCCTGTAAAAACTGGCCACTTAGAAAAAGCATTTACTATTACTAAATAGTACCAGCCATTCATTGGTCCTGTATAATCCATATGTAACCTGGACCATAGCTTTTTTTTTTTTGGACCAAGGTTGAATTTTTACTGATGGCAATTTAGCTGACAACAGTTTTGGCAAGACTTCACTAGATCTTCAACATCCTGATCCAAGCCCTTCCAGTATATGTAACTTTGCATCAATGCTTTCATGAGATATCCCAGGGTGTCCACCGTGGAACTGTTTCAAAGCAACTTGTATTACTACTCATTCTCCATACATTAAACATCAGCCACATATGGAAAATGATTTTTCCATACCAAACATTTTTAATCCAAAAACACACACACACCCCTCTTCAAATATTCACTCATTCTTATAATACTGTTGTCTTTTTGTGAGTCCCTCTTAATATCCTTTCATAATTGATAACACTCTTATTTTATTCCATAGAGGATACTTTATTTCTTACTCAGCTTTTATCAAGGTAATGACAGTACTTTCAACCCCCCCCACACACACACACACTCTTAGGTATTAATCTTGACAGACTATTTGCATGTCTCACTTCTTTAGATGGCAAGTATTCAATTGTGAAATCATATCCTAACCTCATGCCTAATGTTATAGGCAGTTTTCTGAATGTATGGGAATGCCTTTTTTCAAGCCGATTATTTCCAAAAGTGGTTTATGGTCAGTTTGTAATAGGAACTTCCTATTGTTTAATATTCTGTGGAATTTTTTATTGCATTAATTGCCTTTTCAATTTGGCTATAATTTCTTTCCACCACTAACAAAGTTATTGACACAAGAATAACAGCAGTTCCCCACACACCAATATCATATTCACTAGCATCAGGCCGCTATTATTTCTAATGAAGAGTCAAAGTGCACCAGCACAAACACAGAAATTAGTATTTTTTTTTTCAAATCTTTTTCAAATGCCTTCTTGCAGTCAGCCAATTCCATTGTTTATCTTTTTTTTAGTAGCCCATTCAATGGAGCTCTCAGTTCATATATTTTTGGTATATACCAACTATAAGTCACCATTCCTAAAAATGACTAATGTAGAAATGTTTGAAAGAGCCAGCATATCCTCTATGGCTCATTTTTTTCAGGATCTGGTCTATGATCATTTTTGTCAATAATTTAATCCAAATATTTAACTTGTGACATAAATAATTCGCATTTGTCTTCAGCCACATTATAACACAACTCTTATTTGTTCAACCACTGCAAGTGGTTTGTGTTCGTCTCAACCAGCAAAGTATCTGAAAATTGCTGGAGTTACTTTTACAAACAGTAGTCTATTAAACCAAAATAACTCTTTATGCATATTAATGGTAAACAAATTCCTTACTTCTTCCATTTCAACTTTATGGTACATATCTGACAATAGCTCCCCTCATTGGTAATGGATAATTATGGTCTTGTAGGAGCATTATTCAACCCCATTAAAAATCTGCACACACTCATAATTTACCAACCTTTTTTTACAATTACAATGGGCGCTGACTTGAAGAGTTGCCTGGTGAAACAACTCCCATATTTTATAGTCTGTCCAACTCCTTGTTCAGTCTCAATTGCAGCAAAGGAACAGGTCTTTTTGGCTTAAAGTTGGTCCCACATTTTCTTTTACCTATAACAAGGCCTTTACTTTAGTGCAGAGACTCAATTCCTCTGTAAAGGTGGCCTTATACTATTGTATAATTTTTTCCTTTAAACTGCCAATGTTCACATTGGAGCATCTGATGACTCAAATAGGTTTGATAGATTTATTCCATAAAAGTAAACAAGTGTAGCCAATCTAATAAATTTAACCATTTTCCTTGTCACATACGCCACTGGATTAACTTTTGTCTCAGAACAAGACTTCACAATTCAATTCACCTACTATTTTTAGTTTCTCCATGAGGCACAACATACTTCAACATTTTTTTTTTTTTTTTTCAATTTCAGTGCACCTATATTTTTTTCAAAGTCTTCTGAAATTATAGTAATATCACAGCCTGTATCTAATTGTAGGACCACTTGTTTGTTGTTCATGCAGATGCATATAAAATCTATTCCTTTAGCACAGTTATAATTCTCCACCATCACCTGCAAAAATCTTTTGTGCCCAAGCTTCCTACAACAAACATTATTTTTCTGTTTCAAACAGGAAATTTATTTCCAGAAATGCATTCCCTACAATCATAATGAGGGTTTGATGCAGTTTTATTGTTTTGGCCATATTTTTTATTGCTTCAATCTCCATTTTTATTTCTTCTGGTTCTTCAATCTGACATATGTTGGGTTTTAAATTTATTAACCATTGACATTCCTCAGCCATCACCTGTAAATTTATCCCTGGGTCCTGTCCAAGCTTTGCTAACATTCTTGTCCTTATTTTGTTATTTTTGTGTGACTTCAGGTCCACCATAAAAATTAAACATTTGAACTGGTCTTCTGTTAAATCTTAATTTACTCTTTTCACATTCACTTTTCCAGCATGTGGAAAAAGTTGTCTTTCTTTTTTTTCTTCAAATTGAAAACTTTGACTATGGAAAACAGACTTTTATCTTGTTTTTAAAAGCCATGTCTTTTTTTTTTTAATATAAAATTACAGTACCTTTCATATTCTTTTATTCCCCGCCTCCTCAGTAGTAGTCACTTTTTTCCCCCCATCACTATTTACTTTTGAAATTGATATATGAATAACATTTCTTCAATTGTTCAAATTTTAAAAACACTGATAAATTTTTCAAGATTCTACTAAAATGTATTTTATCAGTGTAAAATAATCCATTATTTTCCTTTCAACTATGTTTACTTGTCTCCAGCACCATTCACCTTTGCTTTTCCTCTTTTGAGTGAGGATAGCAGCTGAGAGAAGACATGCCTTCATATTCTCTCATCAACTAAAAGTAACAAGGTCATGAACTCATTCTAATCAAGGAAACAAACCACTGTTCACAATAATTACCAAATATTACTGACAATTATAAAAAAAAAAAAAATAAATTTCCTTAAAAGGACAATTTTACTTTGTAAAAACAAGCCAGAATTCTGGAATTTCATATATTGACTTTTGTAAATTGAGAAAAGGGATGTGTGAGCAGCTGAATTTAGAAAATTCCAGGACTTTTCAAGGAGCTTTTGGGTGATTACTGTTTTTCCAAGATTTTTCAATTCCCAGAAAATGCCCTGTCAATTTTTCTGGGCTTTCCTAGGTTTCCAGTACTTTTACAAACCCTGAATAATGATGATATAATCATGATGTTATATAATAACAACATGCATTCATTGCAATTGAGACAGTCACTCCCATGTGGGCCTGTACAGCCATAACAGATGCTGGGTCACTATCAGCAGCTGGGGCATAACGTTTTAGGGCACAGATCCAGGGTTTCTTGAAACAGACAGATCCCACATAATGATAAAATAATAATGATGATAACTTTATTTAATAAAAGTTTTAATCTAGATATTGAGGGGAAGAAAAACAATTCTTAACTGACCTGAGATAAACTATTTCCAAACAGCCATTTTACAGGAAAAAATAATGCCCGGTAGAGAGAAGTGAAATTGTGTTCAAGGGCATCACCTTGGTTAACTTCATTGTTCTGTTGATAAAGAAATAATGTAAAATAATTATCACAAGTAAGCAATATATATATATATATATATATATATATATATATATATATATATATATATATACACACACACAAAAAAAGAAAAAAGTACCATTCAGCACTAAAAAATTAGAAAAAGAAATGAAATGATAATAAATTTTCTCTTTCAATGTCCCTAAATTAAAGGGTGATTATTCTGATTCTAGTTTAAAGTAATACCGTTTTTCATCTTGCAATCATTTGGCTTACAATTCATATTTATTTGATTTCAGAAGTAAACATGAAAATTCCCCACATATTTCAGTGAAATTCACCTCTTTCCAAAATTATAATTTATAAACTGAAGATTTCACAGGTTTCCCATTTGAATTTTCTGAGGAATCAATTCTTAATTTAATGAACTTGTTGCAATAAAAACAGAATGCTCCATTATTTATCTGAGGTAATGGTTGGACATAACACATACATTAACTTACTAAATAATGAACTAAACAGGGATTTATAACAATTATAGTTTAGGTATATGGAAATAAGGCAGCATTAGTTTAAACTGATATCAAGGGTGACAATAGTTAAGGAGTTCCCTGCTTAAAAGAATGAAACAAAAGATAGTTTCTTTTATTTTTAAGGGGAGATTATATATATATATTAAAAATGCATTTTTTTTCTCATTTTTTTTTTTGCATATCTCAGTTTTTATATACAAGAATCCAGTTTCCAGTTAACCCAGCATTAAACTAAAGAAAAAAAAAGGCCAAACACATGAAAAAGTTTGAATTTAAATCTAGAAAGAAATATTTGTACAATGGACAGTTGTGTATGTTTTGCATGCTCAAGAGCAAGAAGTCCTAATAAAATGGTAAAAAAAATAAATAAATATTCTTAAAAAAAAAGATTGTTTATCAAGAAGTCCTATAAATTAGATTAAAAAGATTATTAAAGTAGGATTTTGTCAAAGTATTTTTTCCAAACAAATCAGCTTGATCAAATTTCATTGACTGGTTTATGAAATTGAATGAAATGTAGTTTTTGTAAATGCCAGAAAAAAGAAAAAAAATCTAGTTTGTAAATAAAACTTACTTTTGTGATGTGTTCAAACAAAGGCCATGCAATGCATGACCATAATTTAAATAACTGCTCAGAATGCTGCACAAAACCTGCATGACGATCCAAAACTTGTATGACAGCTTGGCAGAATTCAAGAGCACCTGAAGGATTAGTCATGCCCATTTCAATCAAGTTACTAAACAGAGTCTCATAACTGAAAAGTAAAATATTAAATAATTAATAAAAGAAAAAAAAGTAGTTTAAATTGAGTGATATATTACATTTCAAGTTCTTATTTAGAAAGGCATTTTTGTTCGGCTTTCAACACCATCATAGGATTTGTATGAAACAAAAAACTAATTATTAGTTAAGTAATTATGGTATTTATCAAGATGAGCTTTGTTTAGCAGAAGAAAACACATTGTCAAATCAACTGCAAACTTATTACATGTATCATGGTCAAGTATTAACTTGGGGAACTATCCGTTTTTGTCTTTACGAATTTATGAAGAAATACATAACACCAGTTAACAAAAACAAGAAAATTAAATTAATTATTCATTGTAAAAAAATTAGAACTGCTAACTTTATTGTAATTCACCTGCAAGATCATTTACAAATTTATGAAGAAATAAAACTCCAGTTGACAAAAACAAGAAAACTTTTTTATCTAGATTAGTAATGTATTTGCAAAATTATTTATATATGTCTCTTTTTCTTAAGTCAGTTAACTTGTTTATATGCAAAAATTGATGAATAAGTTTTGATAAAAAGGGAAAATTTTTTTAGAGTACTTTCATTAATCCTCAGAGTAGATTAAATTGTACTTTTTTAAAAATTTTTTCTGAAAATAAAAGATATTAATTGGTGATGGTTTTTGGTTTACTTACTTTTCTTGGTAGATTCCCTCTTCCAACATGGAAGGAGTTAGCAAAAGTTCAGTTAGAAATAAAGCAGGTGTACCCTAAGTAAAAAATTTAAACAACATTTAAAATAATTTAAAAAATAAAACTGCAGATCTACATTTTTGAAATTAAATTTTTATTACTTCCAATTCATACATTTCATCAAGACAAAGTTAAAATAAAACTGAACATGAATTGGTAGGGAAGAAGTTTGGAGGGAGGGACAAGAAAAGCACCCAAATGATCATTCTTAACACATTTCTGGAATTTAAAAAAAAAAAAAAAAAAAAAAAAAAAAAAAAAACAAAAAAAAAAACAAACACAGTTCAAATATCATTTTTAACTACATAATTAAAAATACAAAAAAAATAAAATGTATATATTACATGAATTTTTTCTCCACTACTGATGTTATAGGCTGTTGAAGAGAGTATCTTCTTGGGAAGTCTGGAAACGGCAAGGAAGAGTTTCTGTAAATGTATATAAAAAATTCTACATCAAAAAAGAATCAATTTTAGGAACAATCAGATAAAACATTCAACCATTTACATTTTGAATTGTATTGCATGTATATAAAGAGAAAATCTATCATTCATTAAAAATGAGTTGTTAGCAATAACAATTAGCAAAATTTAGAACTGAAGAAGAAGAAAGAAAAAAAAGAAGACAGATATAATAGTTTAGTTTCCATTTTCAAATGTAAATATTTACTGGTGATGGAAATAATTGCCAGACTGGGTTCCAGTTGAGGCTGTAGAGTCCATGGCAATACTGACATTGGAGGGGGAAAAAAAAAAGAAGAAGAGAGAAAAGAAACTACTCTCGTCAGTTATATGCAAAATAGTAATGCAGATGGAACCCTTGATAATGTAATCAGCCTAAGAAAAGAATAACTGAATTCAAAACTGTCGATGAGAAACCATTCCATTAACTTTCTCAAGACCAGACATGGTACTTCACAAGGTGTGTGTGTGTGTGTGTGTGTGTGTGTGTGTGTGTGTGTGAAAAGAAAGAGCCATGATTGCCTATTTTGAAACTTCTATTGATTTTATACTATCCTTATGGATTTACTTACTATCCATAGATATGAGACCACATTTGTAAAACAGTCTGCAAATTACAAAATAAAAGCAAAGACAAAATTACAAGAGACAAAGATTACAATCTTGTTAATTTTGATTTGTTGTGAAAAGTGACTGATTATTATACATAAATCTTCAAGTAATATTGCTTAACCTTCACTATGCAAATTCATTTGCTGTACAAAAAGTTTATCCTGCCACTGAAGGTGACTGATCTCTGAATTTGAATTTCATAGTTGTGTTATAGCAACAGAAAACAACTTTGAGTGAAATTAGCAATAAGGATACTATTGAAAAAGAAAAGCTAAAGGTTGGAAAAAAAAAAAAAAGATAAAGTTTTTTTCAAAGGCTTTTTAATACATGTATAGACATGTTAGCCTTTTTGCAACAAACAAATGAATACAACACAAGCAGGAGTAGTGGAAGTCTTTCAGGGATGCATCCTAAAATACAATCTGTTAATATTGACAACGGCTTTAACAAATGAAGTCAGGGCAAAAACCTTAACCAAAATTAGTAAAGAAAGTTTGCTTACATATTTTACAGAATATGGAGATTGACGGCTAAGAACCAATGTTGAGAAATCACAAAGAAAAGATGACAAAGCATCTCTGCAATCGACCTTAAGACCAGCTTCAAGTCCCAATCGCATATGCTCAACAAGCAGGCACCAAATATAAAGGACTAAATCATCTGAAATGGAATCAAAGTTAAAAAATTTAGTCACATATTCCTCTAGCTACAATACACACAAATTTCTCTACATACATTTGAGTTTCAAAGAGACAAGACAATTATTCTTAAGAATAATTTGGAGCATCCTTTTTCTAACCACTCATTTTATTAAATATATAGGAAAAATCTTCAAACTCATGTAAAAATATTACATGAAAAATTCAGATAGAGTATATCTATAAAGGACAATATGAAAAAAGACAAAGCTGGCATGTTTCATCCTCTAAGGGACTTCATCATTTTATGACAAGTATTTATATACAAGAACAAAAATGTTATTGGCTTTTAATTTGGAATGGAAGTGCTCATGAATATTCATCAGGTTAGCAGAAAAGTCAAGAGAGTTCATGGGCATGAGGTGATACAGTTCAATGCCTAATAAACAAAAGTGAGTAGGTCATTTTTTTAATGTATGTAAATTAGTATTTAAATTATAAAATCTTTACATTTGCCTTGATAAAGTTTCTCAGAACAAGACACGTCAGCTTTGATAAGTTTATTTTCACATCATACATTATTTTTAGTGGATACTCAATTATTTTATTTATTAAACAAATGCTCTGTTTAATAAACTGTATATTTATTTTCATCTATTGGCTTGAAGATATAAAAATTTTGAGAATCTATGAGGATTTCACTTAAAAAAGGCACTATTCTGCCTTACTTGATTGGCAAAAGTTTTTCACGGGTGAGTTGGTCTAAAGCTCATCAGATATGATGACTGGTCCTCCTACCCAGGGGGACTGATTCAAATCCTGCCAAAAGGTACATATTTTTCTTTAAGATTTCTCAAATATTCATGCTTAGTAGACAAGAAATAAAAAAAGAGTAGAAAAGAAATAAAAAGAATATGATTATCCACTAAAAATTAAATTTAAAATTATAAAATCCGTTGGATTAATAAGTAAAAAAAATCCACTATTTCTTTAGAAATTGATATTAGTTGTCATAATATACAAATCGTTAGTCATGCCTTTTATTCCAGCTACCTCTTCTATTTGCAGCTTAAGTGTATGTACATTAAATAATTCAATATACATAAGTTAAGGATAAATTTAAACAAGTTATTTTATTACTGATTTTTATGGAAGTGACAATTTTGTTTTAGAAAAAATTTATTTTTCATTATCAAATGACAGTGGAGAATAGGGGAGGGAATCTATATTTGTGAGAAGAAAGCAAAATCTTTGCCAAAAATTTCAAGATGAAAATTATTAGTGCTGAATCAATTCTTATTGCAGGTCTTTTTTTTTTTTTAGTAAGTCTGACATGTCAGCATTTATTGACTGAAGGAGGATAATAGAAGAGAAATAAGCTTACCTGAAGCCTCAACAGAACACATCAGCTCAACAGTCGCATAGGCGATTACGCTGGATTGTTTCAGAAACAAAGCCGGCCCCAAAACAACATTAGTATTTAAAGTGTCTAAAATGAAGAAATAAACATTTATGAATGGAGATTGGCTGAAGTCATGAAGATGAATTTCTTTAATACATCTTTATACTCTTAAAAAAAAGTTAAATCTTTGTTTACTCAATTGTTTAATTTTAATTAGTAGCAGATTTGTAGTTTGAGGAAAATATTAGAAAATTTTAAAAGAATTAAATTACCATGATAAAGTACTGAAAACAGGTTTTAGTAAAACTCCTTATTTACATTTAAATAAATTTAAGTTAAGACAATTTAATATAGACTAAATAATTTCAAACTTTATTACTTATAAAAATCTCTTTGCAAAATCATTCTTTTTATACAAGGTGATTGAAAAAAGTAACTCAATATTTTATGTATGATGAACTCTCCCATCTTGTAAAAAATGATCAACGAGAATCTATCATACATAATATATTGAGTTACTTATATACAGGGTGACTGAAAAGTATCTTGTTAAATATAATCTGAAACAGTGGTCCTTAACTCTTTCTTCTTCAGTGTCCCTTTTCAGATATTTGCATGGAATATCAAAATTACACTGGTAAATGGAGCAGAGTTAATGCAACAGAGTCATGGTTACATTTTAATGCATTATAATGGCACCAATCATTGAATTGGTGAGATGAAGAGCTCGACAATAAGTTGGCCAGACAATAAAAGCTACTAAACTTTAACTGGTTTTTACTTACACATAATGCAAATGCATCTAAATGTCTAAAAATGTAAATATATAAATAAAAAGATAATGGTTTCTCTTTGAATTTCTGGGATGAGGATTTATTGCATAACAGTACAATTTCACCCCCCCCCCAGTAGATCAATTCTTTTTCCTTTTAAGTTCACTTAATTATCTGAGTTTCTCAGGAAATTAGTCTTTAGCCCATCTTTGAGTCAACTTAAGTATGAGATTTTTGGATTTCTGTCTCCAGTTGCATTTGAATTGGCAAGCATAAAATTTTGTCAATGATTTTAGATAATCATAAAAGTAGTCCTTTGAAAAAGCTGGCCACCCAAAAAAAAAAAAAAAAAAAAAAAAATCAAATGGATGGTCTCTTAAATTTTAAAAGAATAGAAAATTAAGAAAAAAAATGCTTACACTGGTTGTGTTACATATGGTATGATTAGGAAAAAAAATAAGAGATAAAGGATTATCAATAGGGCACAAAGTATATACAGCAGCATAAGTGAAGGCCACCAAAAGTAAATACAATTTTAGGGAGAAAAGGAAAGTGAGGAGGGGAAAGAAAAGGAAGAAGGGGAAAGAAAAGGAAGAAGGGGAAAGAAAAGGAAAAAAAAAAAAAAAAAAAAAAAAACAGATAAGGTGATCTGGTTTATATACCTAATTCTAGATCTACAGCAGGGAGATTCACATTGCCAGGAGGAAGCTTCAGTAAATGAGCAATAATCTCAAGTCCTTTTTTCTGAAGAGGAGCAAATGATGGCCATACTGTTCCTTGGCTGGGCAAAGGAGTATTAACAAGTTCTGGAGAAAGAGAAGAAAGAAAAAATTTAAATAAAAAAAACACACACACACACACACACATATGTATGTGTGTGACAGGCAGACAGAAAAACGAGAGACGAATGAGAGAGAGAAAAAAAAAAGAAAAAAAAGAGAGAAATTAAAAAAGGAAAATTATTTACATTATAATATCCTATCAAATCCAGTATTAAATATCTTTAATGTTTAAACAGAGACCTTTTGTTTTCTATAGACTGCAATCATTTTGCTTAAAGCTTGTATTTCCTCGATTTCAAATGAAATCTTTGAAATTTTCTAACATATTTTAATGGAATTTTAACTTCCAAAAATTGTGATTCATAATTATAATTTAGATATAAGTTAGCTAGATAGTCTGTGCTTTACCAGGGTTATGTGTGATTTCAAATTCAGAGTTGTTCCTCTCCTAGATTAGTTGTCAATCAAGGCTGAAGAACACTGTATATTTTTCCTGAGAATATTTGCATGAATTCAAACTCAGATCTGATTTCTCATTTTGAGTCACTATCCATTACATATTTACTGAACCTAGATAATAAACCAGAATTAGAAAGACTACTTTTCAAAGGTCACTAGGTGAACAACTAATGATTAGGTTTGTGTTGTATAAATCCCATCTTCATTTCCACCATCCAATTCACCTTAATAAATAACACCAAAAGAAACTTTAATCTAAGATTCAATACAAGAATCATTAACATTATATAAAGTGGGGAAAAATTTGAGAGATATTTTGTCCTTTAGGACTAAAGTGATGTTTAGTTGATGTGATTAAACATGAGCTCGAAAAAAAGTGGAAGCTAAAATTATTATTTTTTTGAAATATGTATTTGGACATGTTTAGCAGATTACATCTTATCACTCTCATTAAATATCCCAGTGTAATAATAGAAAACTACCAAAGTTGAAATATTACAACATGGACGTAAATTCACTGTGGATGATCTTGCAATTAAAGCACTTTCTATGCATTTGTCTTAGTAAATTGCTTTCTCTTATTTTACTTTTAATTTGACATATGCTCTGTGTCCAAGTGGTGGCTTCTACAAAAAGAGGGATGCAATTTTGAATAAGGCCAGAAAACACATTTGTAGATGTAATAGTAATACACACCTGATAAAAATGTTAGAAGTGTGTCTGTCTGTGTCTCTCTCTCTCTATATATATATATATATATATATATAAAAAATACACACACATAATCATGCTACTGAAGTGTGGTAGACAGTGAATTAGTTGTACCAATCCTTAAAAAAAGAAAGAGTATCATGCATATAACATGCATTATGGGTACTCTATGGTGGGTTGATTTATTTTCTACAGCTTAACTCTTTGCAGATTATTTAAAACCAGAAAATATTTTTTAGATTGTAAGAAGTGGGGGGGGGGGTACAAGCCTTAAAAATTAACCCATAGTTGATGGGAGTATAGTTTCATACCTTTCCCAAGCGTATTTTGCACATAAATGAATATAATGAACCGAACTGGAACTCGGTTCTCCAATTCACAGCTCAAGGTATTATTCATTACACCACCTGCACACCCATTCTTACGCCACCTAGGAGTGCTTAGTCATCCATCTAGGTACTGACCAGGATTGATGTTCCTTAATTTCCGTAATCATATAAGAACTGGTTTTTTAACATGATGTGGCTGTAAGCCCCCACTGGAGGAAGTCTTTGACAAGTGCTACCAAGAAAGGATGTCAACTAAGCAAACAGTCATCAACCCAATATCCAAAGAAAATGGAATATGGCAAAATACACACATACTTAACTTTGATACAAAGGCTATCAAATGTTAAATTTAATTTATACACACAATTCAATTTTGCTATTAGCAGAAGTTGTTAATAGAGGAAAGCTATTGAATACCCACTTGGTGTTGGTGTATTCCGAGATCCCTGTGTCCATTTGCCACCAACACAAAATCTCAACAAAGGTGTACAAACCTGAAAAAGAAAGTAAATAAAAATAAAATTCATTCCAGCAATCACTCCTCAACATTAAATTTTAAAAACAGGTAAATATTTTTTCTGCTTTGTTGTTATATGGAGTAAATAATGTCATTTTTAAATTTATATTAGAACAAGATATAAAAATGGCTTTATAACAATACCGCCAATAAAACTTTAAGCTATCCTGTCAGATGAAGAGATGTACAAAGTTTTAAAACATTTTTTTTTTTTTTTAAAATAAAAAAAAAATAAAAAAAATCATTTTCTGACAGATAAGATAAATATTTCCAATTTTAAAACAAGTTGTTTCCATCCTGGTAAAGTCTGGAGATTCTTTACAATGGAGAGGAGAAAAAAAAAAGTGTGATAACACAGACTCTTATAGGACATTTAAAAAATAATGAAATTTAAATTAAAATCTCACAGCTAAAATGATCAGATTCACAGTTAGAAAATACAGGTACATTATATTCTATACAGTATTATATTTGACAGGTTTCAATCCAGAAATGTTTTTATTATTAAGAAGACCCCACTCCCCTCTTAATTACTTGCCACCTATTAAGTAATTAAGTCAATAAAAACAACTCACCATATCAAAATTGCTCAGAATCTTAGTATCCAATTTTTTCACAAAATACCACCAGACCTCTAATTTTTTCATGGCAACTGTTTCAGTTTTGGCATTGTTAATCTTAAAAACTTGCATCAAAAGTTTTATTCTTTTTTGGTCACCAATAATAGCTGAAAGAGTAAAAGAAAATTAAGAAGGGTTTGTCAAAAAAAGAAGAAAAAAAAAGAAAAAGAAATCAGATTACTAATAAAAACAGTAGGCAGCTCTTAGCCTTACAAATGTGAAGTGTTGTTGAAAAATGAATCCCATTGAAATTTTTTTTTTCTAATGGATTCACTGTATACAAGATGAGATGTGTAACAGGTACTGGTGAGAAGAGTTCCATTTCTCACCTAGTCTGTTGCAATCACTTTCACACAGATGCCCTTGGGAAACCTATTCATAATATTGAAAATACCAAGGTAGATTAAGTTCCCGTGTCTTGGTTGGCAACCAAAGAGAAGGAAAGCTGAATTCTAAAGCAGGGAGATGAATATATGGAGAGCCACATAGCTACATTCTGAAGGGACATGGTATTTAAAGAAGTAGAGGTGGAAGCCAGGTGATTTTTGGGGTCTGTAGGATCTGGCTTTTTGGCTATACATGAGCAGACAAATAGAGGGATGGAGTGGGTGGGGAGAGAGAGAGAGAGAGAGAGAGAGAGAAACTGATTTACCTGGATTTGATGCAAAGTTTTCAATTAAATATTTCCAAGCACAAAATGCCTCATATTTGATATTTGGAATTGAGCTCTTAAAACCAAGTTCAACAATTGGAAGAAGTTGGTTAATGAAGACACAATGAAGTTCCTGAATTAAACAATAACAAGCCATAAGCAATAAAACAATACATTATGACAAATTGCGTAATAATCAGGTTATGGGGAAGTTTACTTTCTTTAATGTTGGATAAAATTAATTTACTTGTTCATTACAATTTTCATCATCAATTTCTTGCAAACTTTATTATTTGTATTATATGTGAATTAATAATTGAATATTCATTTAAGATGGAAGAAAAAAGTGTTTTCAAAACATGTTTTTACATGGACTCAAAGAGACCACTGGCAAAAATGCATACACAAAGTTGTCCACCAAACTTTTATATAAAAATGGAAATGGAAAGGGAGATTTTACTTACCTTTCCAAGAAGTTGGACAAGCAAACTCCAAACTCTCAAGACATAAACTTCATTTCTATTATTGAATAATTTCTTAAGTTCA